GCAAAAGTGGTGTGAGCATGTCCGCTGTTGTCTCTTTGTCTGTTCTCAGTGCTTGTGGCGGGATTCCACCTGGTCCTGGCTCTTTCCTGGATTCCAGCAGCTTTATGGCGTTCAGGACTTCACTTCTGCTTTTGTTGGAGGGCTTGTGTTCACTGGTAATTCTGTGGCTGGGTTGCTGGTGGTATTTGTGGACGAGTTGCAGGTTGTGGTGGTGGTCGATTCAAGAGTTTTTTGTAGTGGACAGCCCATCGTCTCCTTTGTTTCTCCTCTTTGGTAACTAGGTTTCCTCCACTATCTTTCATTGGTTTTGTCTGCGTTGATCTCTTTCCAGATAGCAACCTGGTTATTTGATACATTGTTGTCAGGTTTCTCCTACCTGACTTACTTGTTAATCTGAAGGCATATGTTCACGCATCCACACCATTGGGTACGTTGTTGTGTTACGTTGAGTTGCTTGTGCGTGATCGTCTAGGCAGTTAGCCTGAATGCGTCAGTATTTTGGTACGGTCGATGAAATGTACTATTTCATCTGGTTAATTTGTTGTGATCTTCCTTCCAAATCGTCTTCAATGGTCTTTTGGACATCATGATAGGCACTCCGAAGCTTATTTGTAACAATGTCATCTGGTCTCTGTCACTCGTCTTCCAGTAACCCGTTGATCTTCACCTGCGAGTGTGTCGTTGACGTGTCTTTTGTCTTCCGTGTACTCTTATTCACTTCTTTGTCCAGTGTTTTATACATTTTAACCGGTATACATTGCAGTGCACTGGTTCCTCTGCTGCTTCACCATCCCCCTCTCCTCCATAAGCTTCCATGTGTCCATCGAGATCCATTCCTTATCTTCTTTCTTCTTCCTTCCTAATACGGCTGTGCAGGTTTCTTTCCACATAGCTTTCAAAGACTTCCAGTGTTCTTCCACACAGATTTCTTCAGGGATGTTCCTCGACATCTCCCATTTTGTCTTGATGGCTGTCGTGAAGATCTCCTTTGTAGTTTCATCCTTCAGTTTCCGAGTGTTGTACTTGAACTGTGGTCTAACACCAGCTACCTTGAGGGCTTTCAACTTGATTTTGAAGGTTCCTTGCACTAGACAGTGGTGGTGTGAACCTACATCTGCTCCTCTTCTTGACCTTGTGTCAAGCAGACTGCATCTCCGCTTTCTTGAGATTGAGATAAAGTCGACTTGATTTTTAGTGTGTCCATCTGGTGTCTGTGAAATCCATGTCGCTTTATGGATATCCTTGTGCTTGAACATACTGCCTCCAATCACCAAATCGTTGAATGCACAGAATTCTGCAAACAATTCTCCATTCTCGTTCATCACCTCACCTAGCGCTTCTTGACCCATGGTTAGTTCTCTTCCTGTGTTCTCCCCTCCCAGTTTGGCATTCATGTCGCCCCACCCATTGGAATTTTGATATCGCCAACTGAGGCGGTGTCTTGTCCAGTGTTGATTGAAGTTGTCTGTAGAATTCCTCCTTTTTCTCTTGCTCTGCATTATTTGTAGGTGCATAACATTGTATGATTGTGACCTTCCTTCCTTTGAGTTGAATCTTGCTGTCATGATCCTGATCCTGCAGGAGGAGATTGATTCCCACTGCATGAGAGCCTTCGCTGCTGTTGGGGACATCATGATAGCCACTCGATAACTCAGTGTGCTGTGCTCGTGGTTGTTGTCTGGGTGACCGGAGTAGATTACTGGTTCTCCAGCTGACAGTTTGGAGAGTCATCTCCCATTCCATCTGCTTCCGCAAATTCCAAGCGCCTCAACGTGATACCTTCTCATCTCGTTTGCATCCTGGGCTGCCTTGCTGGATTCAAACGTGGCGCGGACATTCCATGTCCCCATGTTTACTTTTGCCTTCATCGAGGGAGAGAAGACACATCAGCTAATTGGCTTCCCGAAGGCTTTCACCAACTGGCGTCATTTCGCCTCTCCGATCCCAGCGAGGAATAGGCTTGTTATTATTTTTTATATTTTGTTTGTGCTTTGAAGTTTGTTTAGCGGTTATATTTGTTTTCCGGGGTAGGGTTGCTGGTCGTATGCCCAACCTTCCCTGTTTATCGGGGCTTAGGACCGGGTAGTAACTAGTGAACTAGTTAACCAGGCGAGGTTACCACTAACGGAACCCGCACCGACATTTTCAGTGTTAGAAAGCAAATGATAGGCACTGAGACTCTAGCATATAAACAAAATCCTGAAGCGTTTGGCATTGCAGAAACCTGATTGATTTAGGGTTTCGATTTAATCCCCCTTCTAACTGGATTTTATGTGTGAAAACAGGTGGGATTTTGTGTCTCAAATGTGGCTGCATGCTACTCTGAGTTTCTCATGATGTCCGCAGACGGAGTGCATGAATGCAGTTCCTGTGAAATGGACAGCTGTAAGTCTAAGTCAAAAAAGATTTCCGTTACATCGTGGCAATTTGTTGTAGTCCATCTAACCTTGCGAGTGACCTCGTGCTAATCATCTGCGTAATTGAAGCAGTGGTAGCAGATGCCTGGCAGTTGTGAATCGGCGCGCTTCGCACACAACTAGACGTAGGCTTATCAGTTGCTTCGAAAATGGCATACTTCTGACAGTACTAGAACCTACCATGGTTCAAAACGTAACTTGAGCAACGCTATACGATTTTGAACGCCAGCCGTCGTCATTAGATTTGTTTTTAATCCGCCAATGTGATGATACTATGGATCTGCGATACTTCTTTCCGCTAGCTAACGGTGATCGTGCAGTGCCGATTTTCAGTTTTCGAAAGTATGAGTTTGATGACGACACTGTTTCCCCTAGACCTAACTTATTAGGCTCAGACGTCTGAAGTATAAACGATTGCGTAATCGATGAGGATTAGTATATCGACAAGAACTCATCAGTTGACGACGCACAGAACAGATTTATAGCTCTTTTCGAAGAGGTAACGACGCCGTTCATCATACTATCGACTCCACAAAGATCCTGACTACTTTGCGCGGCCTAATAAGGACACTCTGAATCTGCCTGGGCGGACGAGACGTTTTTGGAATTCGTTCGTCAAACTGGACCGGCAGCACTTAACGCCGGGTATTCTAAAGCCCGCAACCCGTGCAAAATTCTGAATTGACAGCCTTTGATATCTTACGAGAAGCAGCTTGTACCTGGTTGCCTAAACTGTGCTAAGAGACCTTTCGCATTCATCAGAAGAGAGACGAAAGAAAATGTAGATGGAAGATGAAAAGTCTAATTTCTTGGCAGAATCTAATCTATCCAAAGCCGAATGCCCATCGGATTGCCTTGGTGATATCTTCTCTTCGGATCATGACGTTGAAGTGTGCACTATTGGTGCCAGCACTGCCCTACGGACGGGTACAGTGTAAATAAGAGAGTAAACAGTCTTCCAAGTACTCATTAATCTTTAACCTGGAAAACCTCCGGATGCCGGGTAATTGCGCTCCACACTGCTGCTTCATCTAGCCGACATAACTGTTGACTCAGCCAATGATCCTTTCTATGTGTTCCGAATTCAAACTCACCCCTCTAAAGGCCGGAATTATGCTATAATCGGCCAGCCTGGTAGTCGCGAGTTGGTGGGCAAATATTCTCCTGAAACTAACAAGAATAGTTAAAAAGACATCAGAAACACCGTTTTCATACCACCCACTACTCTTTAACAAACCACCCCATTGTGAGAGGGGAATGAGTTACAGCCGATGGTTTCAGGCTGCCATAGATGCCGTGTTTGTAAACTTTAGTGAGGCTTTCGATGAAATTCTTAGGAAAGATTCCCCAGATCCCCTAATTTTCTTGTTATGTGTCAACCAGTTGCCGAAAGTCCTCAACTCTTCGATGCTGCTGTTCGCAAACGATGTGAAAGTTTGTAGGGTCATACGTAGTGACGCTGATAGGCATGCACTTCGATGGGATTTAGAAGAGCTGGTAGGTTGGTCCAGGCGTTGGTGTCTGGAGATCAACTCTAGTAAAAGCACGTTAATTTATACAGGTCGTAATAATTGTTTTTGCCATTCCTTTGATGGCTCACTGGTAATCTAGGTCTTTGACCTGAAACACCCGGGTGTCATCAAAAGACGCAATCTGTAAACTTCAGCAGAGTGTAATGAAGCTACGGTTGATTGTCTCCACAGGTGTCAGCAGAAAATCCCCCAAAGCCACTATCTAATCGTCTTACTACAAATGTGCGTTTCTCCCGCCTTTCTCCTATCACCCCATCCGCTAATGCCCTTAAAGGGAGTCCTACGGCACCGATGGGCTGAACTTGAGAAGCTTTCCGTCATCTACAGATCAGGTGCAGTAATACTTCCTTGAGACCAGACTAATTAATAATCGTTTATCTCTATCCTTTCAGGTTTTTCGAAACCGGGAATATAGTTGTGACCATTCCAAGCTCAGAACGTATCACAATAAGACAGACGTAGAACCCAAGGAACCACCGTTCCTAATTCTACAACACGAAGTTTGAAGTTTAGAGTTGGACTGTAACTCATCACCTCAGTAAGTGGTATCAGAACATTCGATCAATGCTTTCAAGGAGAAACTAGATGTTTACGGAAATATGTCCTGTGGGGATTGACACAGGCCGAATGGCTTACTACCTTTTTTACTGAAAACTGGGACTGATTACCAGCTTGAGCAAGCGCTCAAATTGATAGCAGCGCTACATGAACACATGGTTTCGAGTGTGGTACTCGAAGGCCATGGAAACTTTAGAGTAAAGGTTGCACTATGCCTGATAACTTGCAAGAGACTTGTTCTAAAGCGTATTCGTCATAAGAGCAATAGTCCAGGTGTGGATGACGCTGAGGTCTGCCTCTTAAAACTAGTTGACGAAATAACGAATGGTACAGTTACCAAGATAAATGACACAGGTTTGTTTTAGAAAATTTTTTCACCCACCTCTGAATAGGCACAGTTGTGTCTGTCTATCCGGGGACATTAATTGGAGGTACTTTCACGTTTGAGTGTTCAAAAAGTCGAGCGATCGGGTACTATGTGGAATTCCTCCTCATGGTAGCACCGTTTTGTAAAGCACCAATTGAAGCAACATTAACTGGAGTTACAAATATTCCTCATGATCCTTCTCTGGACATGATCATACAGTCGTGGTTGCCAATTTATAAAAGTGTTGTCGGCTTAAGCGCTAGTGCGTCGACAAAATCGATATTCGGCAACGTGGAGTATATCCTGGTGGGGGAGGTGAAGTGCTAGCTGTCTTCAAGCCTTGTAGTGGAATTGTTCCGATCAATAAGGTCGATACTGGGAAGGTCTACAGGTGAGTTTTCGATACATTTTGAGCAAGTTTCAATGTTACTGCTCTTCATTTATTCATAATATGCTTGATCAAAGAACCGAACAAGATTTTTTAGCCGGTTCAGTATAGAGCTGTCGTAATAGCTCTACATACTTCCATACTCAAGATCGTGTACTTATCTAGTCAGCTTCTACAGTTGGGGCACTGAGAACTGACTACCTTCCTAATCTCAGAATTCTTTTAAACGAAATGCAGTTATCAGTCTACAGTGGTAGCACTATCGCATAAGTTGTTTCGTTTCATAAAATATGAGCAGAAGGCAGGATTACAACGAACCAATTCAGATCGTTGGGTTTTACTGTATCACTACCCAATTGTTTAAAACTACCATGTTATAACAGTCATTTGTGTCTTCTTGACTAAGTTCACTTCCATGATGAGTGATTCAAAATGGAAAAGTGCCAGAATTTAGAGGATGACCCTTGTATCTTATTATCAGGTAAGAGTTGGGGACATCGCACCCATATAATCACTTCTTTAACATTCGGAATCACCATACACATTGGATTCATACGTCGTTAGGGAAGTGAGTGAAAAGTTAGGCGATGTCTGGATGCTATTTTTCTATTGATACTTATGTAAAAGTTCTATCAGTTTTAGTAGCCACTGATGTATCAACTGTTGGATGTGAGCTTTACTCCCTATACCAAGGTTTGAACATATGTATAATAATGCTAGCTTTTATTCTGTGGATGAATCAGTATTCCTCATTCCACGTGTGTATGAGGCTATGCTATTTGAAATCGCTTTGCTGCAAATAAATACGATGCCTTCTCACCAATTTTTAGCATAAGTTAATTTGATACACTTGTAGGTAGTAGATCATTAACTTTGGGACTCTACCTCCAGTCGATGGGTCCTGAGTACAAACCACGTTCCACTTCTTTGAATTTTGTTACAGGGTAGCATCATAATCTTTCACACATTAACTCTAGCCTGTAACCAAGTCTATAGATATCTCCTGAAATGATATATATTATTATATGTCCGAAACCCCCACACAAGTGGCTTAGCATGACTTCTTGAAAAGACTGTTGTCAGTGCGCTATTTAATAAGAAAAGAATAATGATAAATCCTCAATGAAGTGTACGTACAGCAATTTGGGAAAGTAAAAGTACTAGTTTTATTCATTAAATTTACAAATATATTTATGATAAAATTACTGGTGTTTATTACATCTCAGCCAATCAGTATTATCCATAGGCTCATGATAGTTCTATTGTTATTACGATTATTGTTGTTTTTTCTGTGTTCCTAGTGGAACAGACGGCTTCAGTAGCACGTCACCATTTCACTCTGTTCTCTGCAGTCTTTAAAACCTGGCTCCACGACTGCCCAGAAGCTTTCGTTTCTTCCTCACATGATCTCCTCCATGTCACTCTCGGACGCTACAATCGTTGTTTCCCCTGTGGATTCCAATCGAGGGCCTGACGAGTCATGTCATCAAATAGTCTTCTCAGTGTATGTCCAATCCAATCCATCTCCACTTCCTTCTGCATATTCGTTGGGAGATGGGTTCTTGGTTGGTTCGTCACCAGACAGACTTCCTTGTTGCTTATTCTTATCATTCTGGCCATCTAATCTTCAGTGTCAGCATCGAGGGAGCGTAGGTGGCAGCTGTTGATGAGTGTCTGCAGTTTGTTGGAAATGCCTCTTGTAACGCACCAAGTCTCTAAACCATCACATGGAAGCACTGACTTGACTGACGTTGGTGTTGAAAATCCGGATCTTGTTCACGCTTTATGCTGAGTGCAGTCGATCTCCACACTGGTCTCAGATTAATGAAGGCCTGTCTTGCTTTCCCGGTCCTTGCTTTCACATCCTCATCGGTGCCTGTGCCGCCTGGAGCTGAAACGATGCTGCCCAGCCTAGGTAGGTGGCAGGTGAAAGAGACTACTTCCTTTAGGTTTCTCCCGTTGGTGGTGATTGGTGCCTCTTGTTGTTGATGCTGTTGTTGGTTGGGTATCCTAATCACCTCTGTCTCCTCTACATTCACTTGAAGTCCCGTCTTCACTGCCTTGCCTCTTCTGTCAACTTGTTGGTTTTCGTCTGTAGATCTTCGAGTGCGACAAGACACTAGACATAAATCACCATCGGCGGCGAAATCCAAATCTTCTTCTGGGGTCTTTTCAACTGTCCAGCCAGCGTATGCCCATCTCTTCTCGCTCCTCACTGTTTGCTGCATGATCCAGTCGACCACAATCAGGAAGATCATCGCTGATAGTAGGCGGCAGCCTTGTCTCACTCCTGTCTTCACTTCAAAGGCGTCACTGAGCTATCCATTGTGAATCGCTCAGCATGTGGCGCCTTCATATAGCTGTTGAATGAAGTTGATAAAGGCTTGTGGTAGGTACTCCATAGTATTGAAGCAACTTCCAAATAACTTGTCGGTCGATGCTGTTGAAGGCCTTTTCAAAGTCGATGAAGTTGAGGTGGAGAGTTGACTGCCATTCTATGCCTTTGTTCCATGATGATGCGTAGCCTAGCTCTGCAATTTGATCTGTGCATGATTTGTTCTTCCTGAAACCAACCAGCCTGTTCCGGTTGTAATTTTGAGTCCAGAGCATTGTTTAGTCTGTCCAGGAAGATGCGGGTTAATATTTTGCTTGGTGTAGACAGGAGCATGATTCCGGACCAGTTTCTGTAAAGATTTAGGTCTCCCTTCTTTGGAAGTTTGACAAGGTAGCCCTTCTTCCAATCGACTGGCAGGTACCTTTCCTTCCCTCCTTCCTTCTTTGCAAACCTTCTGCAAAAGTGGTGTGAGCATGTCCGCTGTTGTCTCTTTGTCTGTTCTCAGTGCTTGTGGCGGGATTCCACCTGGTCCTGGCTCTTTCCTGGATTCCAGCAGCTTTATGGCGTTCAGGACTTCACTTCTGCTTTTGTTGGAGGGCTTGTGTTCACTGGTAATTCTGTGGCTGGGTTGCTGGTGGTATTTGTGGACGAGTTGCAGGTTGTGGTGGTGGTCGATTCAAGAGTTTTTTGTAGTGGACAGCCCATCGTCTCCTTTGTTTCTCCTCTTTGGTAACTAGGTTTCCTCCACTATCTTTCGTTGGTTTTGTCTGCGTTGATCTCTTTCCAGATAGCAACCTGGTTATTTGATACATTGTTGTCAGGGTTCTCCTGCCAGCAGGCTGTTGAGCTTCACTTGCCAGTGTGTCGTTGACGTGTCTTTTGCCTTTCCGCGCAGTCGTCTGCACTTTTTTCCAATGTGGTGTTATATAGGTTGTGTCCTGTTTCTCTTTTCGTTGTTCATGCCTGCACTGCACTGCACTTGTTCACATTATGCTTCACCATCTTCCTTTCCTTTCTCTGCCAGCTTCCACGTGTCCGTGGAGATCTATTCCTTGTCTTCTTTCTTCTTCCTTCCTAACACGGTTATGCAGGTTTCCTTCCACATCTCTTTCAAAGAGTTCCAGTGTTCTTGCACGCAGGTCTCCTCGGGGACGTTGCCTAATGTATCTCATTTTTTCCTGAAGGCTGACTGATGTGAAGATATCCTTTGTAGTCTCGTCCTTCAGTTTCCGTTGTGGTTGTTGAACTTGAATTATTGTTTATCACCAACTTCTTGAAGGCTTTCAACTTGATTTTGATGGTAGGTTCCTTACACTGAATAGTTAGTGGTATGAACCACCTACATCTGCTCCCCTTCTTGATCTTGTGTCCAGTAGGCTGGCTGTGTCTCCACTTTCTTCACATTGAGATGAAGTCGATCTGATTTTCAGTGTAGTGTGTCTTGGTGTCTGGTGGAATCCATGTCGCTTTGTGAATATCCTTGTGTTTGTACACACTGCCTCGGATCACCAAGTCATTAAATGAGCAGAAGTTTGCAAACGGTTCTCCATTCTCGTTCATTTCACCGAGTGCTTCTCTACCAATGATCAGTTCTCTTCCTGTGTTGTCCGCACCCAGTTTGGCATTCATGTGACTTCACCCATTAGAATTTTGATGTCACCATCTGGGGTTGGGTCTTGTCCAGTACTGATTGCAGTTGACTGTAGAATTCCTCCTTCTTCTCTTCATCTGCATTATTTGTAGGTGCGTAGCGTAGTGTAGCATTGTATGATTGTGACTCTCTTTTTTTTTGAGTTGAATCTTGCTGTTCATAATCCTGATGCTGCAGGAGGGGATTGGTGCCCGCTGCTTGAGAGAGAGAGAGTCTGCAATGCTCTTTAAGACATCATGAATGCCACTCCGAAGCTCAGTGTGCTGGTGGTTGTCTTCTGGGTGACAATATCGTAGTAGATTATTGAGTCTCTTGTTGACAGTTTGGAGAGTCCACTTCCATTCCATCTGCTTTCGCAAATTCCCAGCCTAGCACTTCTATGCTATATCTTCTCATCTCTTTTACAATCTGGGCAGCCTTGCCAGGCAACTTCAAACATGGTGTGGACATTCCATGTCCCCAATTTTACTTTAGCTTTCATAGAGAGAAGCGAAGACACATCTGCCAATTGGTTTCTGGAAGGCTTTCACCGACTGGCGTCATTTCGTCTCTCCGATTCCAGCGAGCAATGAGTTTGTTTTTATTTTTCATATTTTCTTTGTGCTTTGAAGTTTCTATAGAGATTGGATTGGTTTTACGTGGTAGGGTTGCCAGCCCTACACCCAACCTTCCCTCTTTATCCGGCCTTCGGACCAGCTAGTAACAAGGGAACTTGTTAACTAGGCGATCTTTAGGGTAATTCTAACTATCTATTATAGCCACGAAGAAATCCGAATGCTTATTTTTTGTTGTCATAGTTGTGCTTTCACGTGTCCCTCTTTGTCTGACTTAACAAGAATCGACCTTGATGCAAGACGCTGTCTAGTAAACTTAGAGCACTCAGATGATTTTCGTTTTAAGTGAGAACGCTGACAAAATGCAGTCTGCTGTCTTCTGCTTGAGACCCAATTTCAGAATGCTTGGGATGTGTTTCTCACGACTGCTCCAGGACTGACTTACGTTAGTGAATCATCTGGCAGTGAGTGAAGTAGTAGAGCACACTAAGCATTTCATTTACCTGGGATGTCAGATTCGTCAGTCTTGGTGGTGCAGTGACTGACGTATTCTGTACATGGATACAAAAGGCTGGTTTGTCGTTCGCTAATTTATGCCATTTGTGGTGCTACCGTGATGTCCATTTCTCTGTTGTGGGCCAATTAAATCTTAAAACATCCCGCAAAATGCCGCGTGTCACAGGCTGCAAGTAGATGTCCCATGAGCTGTGTGGTCACACGAATCTCGTTTAAGTACCTTAAGAAGAAGTAACTTTCCACGGCGTGGGCAGCCAAGAAATGTCAACCACCCGCACGCTTCCAGTAATATACAAGACCCAATCAAACATGACCTATATTCCTCAATTCTGCCTACTCCTTTGTCTTCACTTCCTGATAGTAATATTAAGCTTTTTACACCTCCAGCATCTGATTCTGCGACCATTACCAATGATCAAAGCCATCGAAATCTCATTCCTAGTCCCTAGGGCCTGGCCATCGATGTCATTTAGGAGGTTTTGACGTTTGAACTCTATGCCTAATCGGACAGCAAGTATCACTCGACAGAACCGAAATGTCGAGCCAAGAATGTGTACTCCATTTGTGAGAAATCTGTAGAGAACTCGAGTGTGGTTATTGAGTTGACATCACTTACCCAGTGTAGTGAGTTGTCAAAATTCACTTTACGACTATACGGAGACTGAATAGCAGCCTCTCGTAGACGCGCTAGTGTGGGCATAGCATTGAGCTGTAGGGTAGAGATTGCACTTCTAGACTGGATACAAGTCGATAGCCGTCTACGTGTTTTTCCACTGGATGGATGTGCGAGAACTAGGAAGGATCGAGAGACCAACCGATGCCATTTCGTAATCTCCGCCTACGCACCCAGCCACTGAGTGCAGGTAGGATAGTGCAAAGGATGAATTCTATGGGAAGCTGTCAACTTTGCTCCAGAGAGAAAAACGTTCGGATATATTCATAATGCCAGGTGACACTAACGCTGAAGTAGGGTAGCTGAGCTGAGCCAGTGGGAAAACATCTTGGGGGCGTTTATGGAATCACATGCCAACGAACTGGTAATGGTGATCGTTGATTCACCATGTTGGCGACGTTGAGATTATCTGAATGCTATTGGCAAGGAAGGCAAGTCGTTCCATGTGGTGAATGTTCATCGACTAAGGTGACTTGGATATACACTATGGAGGCTGGGCCACTGCGTACCGTGAGGTGCAATGCTGAGGGAAGTTGAATTAGCTTGAATGAGGATTCAGAATGGCCAAACCGAGACATTACGATAGTCGATGAAGTCTTTGACTGTTGACTTGTGCCATTTTGGGATATACAGACTAGCTAGCTGGGTACCTGAGACGATAGGAAACAGTGGCCGAAAATTCTTGGTCACGTGGCTAAAAATCGGTAACAATAAAGCACATGTATTCACTCTTGGATGTGTTGAATATCTACACTATCCATTATCTTCAAATTGCTTATTCTCTCACGCAACTTTGTCTACCTTGGTATCATTCTTATTCTACCCTGCTGTTCTCTATATACTACTGCGAAGCGTGGCAACTTGAACCAGTGTAATTGTGTGTGAGGTTCTAAGTTGATTTTGTCTGTATGTCATTGGGGCCCAAAGTTACTGCTCTAATGTTTTCTCTCTTCTGTTATGTGGCTGTTAAATACTGCCATTCAAAGTGTAGGATATGCGAAGGCTTCAGATATCCGACCACAGTTGCCTTCGTAGCGTAGGTCTTGTGTCGTGGTAAGGCGACTGTCAGGCGTAGAGTTTAACACAGAGGAGGAAAGCAAAGTGATGAGGTTTATAAACCTTCATCAGCTGAGATGACTGAGACATGTGTTACGCATGCCTATCTACCGTCTTCTCGTCGCCCTATGTTGATCGATGTAAGTTTAGTCTAGAAGAAGGTTAGAGGCAGCCAGGCTAGTAAGCAGCATCAGTTCACGAAGTCTGTTGGTTGAACTGAGCGACATAGAGGAATATTCTCTTGGCAACGGAAATCAGTGTTTGTAGAGTTTGGGTTATCCGGTTCAGAATGGATCTCTGTGATGCAAACGTATCCATACATTATCTTCTCCTAACTGTCACACCGAATTTCAGTATTGTTGCTCTGTGTCCACGATTTCCCCCACTTTTGACTCCTTTCCAATATATTTTGTCTGCCTTTCATCCTTGAGTATTCTCAGATAATGTGCTATGATAAAGTATGGTAGCTCAAATTGTGACGTCATACTGAATGACTAATTGAGACGTACTCCAGCCAGAAAACTCAATAAGTGCTGACGTTAAAATTTTGTTCGAAAATGAAGTGTTAATAGGAAACCTGTAAATCTTACATATTGAATGTTTGATATGTTGAACCCGTTATAATAATCATACTGGTTATTATTATAATTATTGGTGTGTCTTCAGCTACTTTCAAGAATAATGCAGAATCAATGGACACCGTCTATCCAAAGTCAGTCATATTAATTGAAGATAGACATTTCTCTTGAAGTTTCATACCAAGAGTCAGGTCAATCACACCGTATACTTCCAACCTAACCCTACCTCATCTGTCATCGCCTATAACGCCTGTGACTAGTCGTGTATAACGCTTTCTAGCCATATCGTCTAGTGGTTTACAATTTCAATAACGTAATTATCTCCGTGAACCAAGACTACATCTAACTTCTATTTTCACTTCGTGGTTTCAGGATGTGATCAAGATGATGAGGGTAATTGTGGAAGTTTTCTCTAGTCTTCCATTAAGTCGAAAAAACCAAAATGTGCTCCAGAACCACACATACTTTCTTGCAGTAGGCAGTGAACTGTACTTATCCTGTTAGGGCTAACTTGTGGAGCTGTGAATCATTGGTTTAGACAATTGACTTTCAACCAGTGAGTCACGGGTTCAAACACAGTTCCAGGTCTAGGCAGCCAGGTAGCATTCTTAGTCCTCACACAACATATGTGGCCCATTCGTTAGTGCACGAACGTGCATAAAGTTGATGAATGCGTTTCTTTCCAAGGGTTAACTACTTCACTCAGTCCTTGTTAAGTTGAGCAGGGTGAGAACCATGCATCCAAAGGTTGTAAGTTGAGTGCTTAGATCATTAAGCCACAATACGACGTCTTCTGTTTGTCTGCTTTATTGCCGCGAACTGGAACATAGCGAACAAGTATACAATGCACTCAACTCTTAGTTGACACTTAGGTAGTTTACGAGTCTCAAGAGTAACGTAACTTGGTCACAGCCAATAAGACTTCATACATACTTCAGGTTTACTAAGGAATCTCCATGTAAGAGATCGATCTGTATAAAGGAAGATGAACAGATACGAACGTACATGGGTATGTCTATGACCAGGTTGAATGGAGATAGACGGAGTTAAAGTCCTTGATAAACACCATTCTATGTAGAACTTATTAGATGGTTGACATACTTCCAATGAGAAAAACTGGCAGTACGCCTTGATTAACGGAGTTTCACGTCGAAAATAATACCTGTGAAGGCCACTGATAAGTATGTATGTGTTTCAGGATCTGATAGAGGGTAGAGATCTATTCGATGCAATAATCGTTTGATCAGAAGTGTGTCCAGTTTTGTAGGCTGTACCATTATAGCGCTTCATCTAATTTTTGAATTATTATTAAATCTAGTGTGTAAAATAAATCTGCGGGGATATTCAGTTTTTAGACTCAAACTGATATATTTCAGTCACCGTAGTTAATGTGTGTGTAATCAGATTGTTCGAAATGTATTACGCGAATGCATCACATTTCTCAGGTAATCTTCGTCCTCTCATTACACTATGCAAATTTATTAAAGGGACTAACTGTTTCAAATCGTAGTTATTATTGTAAATTATCGTCCTTGTGTATGCTATGAGTGAATGATACATACATTATAAATCTTTATGAGGGTTACGTACCTCAAATCGAATTTAGGATTCAAATTTATTTGTAGTGTCGAATAGGATTTTCCCTTCTGAACTTTTCAGTCACTCCTGAGTTTTCAGACTAATCTCGGATTGCGTCATTTGGTGTTCTACTTTGTACCAGCAGCTAAAGATCCGTCACAATAATGTAGATGTATTCACCCTTTGACGTCTTTTAAAGCTTAAACATTTTTACCACCCTTTATATTGATTTTGTTTCACCTCCTATGCACTTTAATCTACTTTGATATCAGTCTTTTTCTATCCACTTACTCTTTGCATACCACTGTGAATTGTGGTAACTTGAACCGATGCACTTGTGTGCGAGTTTCTACATTGATTTTATCTATCTGTCTCTGTCAGTGTGTACCAGCAACTAATTATAAAGTATGTCATTAAAGAAATTAAAATACGTTCTCCGTTATTCTCAGAGCTAGGAGACAGACTACCCATTGATGTACATCTTTTTATTCCTTTTAGTTTTAAAACCAAACTGCCCAAAACCAGTTCGTGGTTTTGAAGAGCTGTTGCAAGAGCCTTAAATATACACTAAAAGTAGCTCTACACATTTGCATATGATTTTTACACTTATAAAATTGTTTCATGCTTTTCTGCATAACTAATCTGGGAAAATAATCTTTCAGAATTCGTGGTATTGCATGGAGCTGCCGTGTCAGTTCTTCCTATGGACAGCAGTTGATTTGTGGAGCAAAATCACTTTTAAATCAATTTCTAAGTGATGTTTACATTACACTGGATCACCGCAAGGTCAGCTTTATATTTAAAAGATGTTTGCTAAGTACACTTAAGTTATTTTTTGGATTTCTGAAAGCCAATACAGTAGTTTTAGTAATACGTTAGACACTACTCACACCACTGTAAAACAACGAAAAGAAGTGTACCGTTACGTTTTTCAGTAGTACTTTGAAGAACGCTCAGATATGCTACTTTTATATCCGAATTAAACTACCTTTGGTAATCCCATTATCGATGTTGAAAGGAGATCAATAAAGCCATCGATCTACTTCTAAACTTCGTCGTACATCATTTCTGAAGCATCATTTTACTTACAGCAGGTAAAAGTGTATTTTACGCAGGCAGAAAGAGCTAGAAATCATTAAAATAGTGCGACTCAATCCATTACACGTTTCATGTACTGAGCTATAGGTTACACGTGAGGGTTTACGATAATACCCAGTTAAGTAGGTTGAAATAGGGCAGAATTAGGTTTGAACTATGAAATTTGAATGCTTAAACCACTCCTCACTTGTTCTGGTCTTTTTTTTAAACTGCATAAAAATATACACTTGGAGAGAAATCCAGTCGACTGCGTTGTAGTGACCTAGTGTGCTAAATCCCAGTGACTTAAATTTAGTTTGTGCTGAAAGTTGTTAGAAATTTCCGCATTCGAGAAGGAATTAATTCCTTTTATACATGAAGTATGTTATCGTTTTTTCGATTATCTTTTGGGCGATTATATAGGTGAATGAAATACAGTGTAACTCAGCGAACACTTCTGGGTACATGGTCCGAGCTATGAGCCACACCTATTTTGTAAATAATAGTGATGCTACCTGGCTTTCGAAATCTTGGTAGGCGAAGTGGGATTCGAACCTCTGACCCGCTAGTTAAGAGTTAGCCACCAGGACCAACAAGTTACAGCTTTATTATAGACAGCCACTACCTCATATTTATATGCTGTTTTGGAGGTCCTCAGAAATAAGATGATTTACTTCTAGTGACAAGTGAACGTCATCGAATATTTTCGTTCCTTCTATACTTCTTTAGGAAACGATAAGTAATCAATTAAAAAAACAAGGTTGTTTGAGCAAGCTGCGATTTCGGTTAGAATTTGTCGCCTTAAATTTGAGGTGCAGATAGCATTTTGATAGTCTTCATAACAGTCTGCATCATTATTATAATCTGATAGTGGTTTAGTTTTCCCTCTGGGCTATGATATTTTGTCGTAAATTTTTCATCATCATGCTTGATGACATCCTCAGCACTAACTTCTTGGTAGGAATAACCGTTTGTTGAGCCCCTGTCGTATGAGAAATTGGGTGGAGCTAAAGGCAGCTACCAACTTAGTATAAATGATGTACACTATGACGGGAGTCTGAGGTTGAATTCGTACTAGCGTTTGGATAAAACTGTGAATCGGCAACGTTTATTTCCGGCTATGAGCACTCTAACTATTTTACCTTCTCACTCTGCGTAGCAGCGGTTATGATAGGTCAACTCTTAAGAAGGTTTGTGCTCTTTTTTGGTCTCAAACTTTCTGATGCAGCAGTATCATTTTTCAAGTAGGAATTCAATTCTAAAAAACCTAACACCCTTTGGGGATCATGTGACTAGTATTTGATAGCTGTCCGTTGAGGATTACATACAGTTAGGCGAAACTTGTCTACTTTCTTTTCCGAGTATCTTAAAAAGAAATATACTTTCATGAAATAGGACACCGCCTAGTGTCAATCGTCTTTGCACTTTAAGCTGTGTAAAAAATCCATGTAAGCAACACCTACCATCTTCGCCCTAGTCTCTTATCTTCAGTACCTCTTTGCGTTGCCAGCATCATCTATGCCTCTATAGTTTCCTCAGATCTGCTGAATTCATCAACCATCGATAACGATTCGAGCCAACGAACTACCATTTTTTGTCTAGAACTACACTACTAACTTCACATTAGAAATTATAACGTCCGAATCCTAGGTCGAACCGGGCTACAGCGTTTTTATTTATTCGACCTAAACAGTGTGTTTAATCTGCGAAATGAAGAAGGTTTGAAGACTCGACTAGGGTCAGACAACCCACTGGCCAACTGATCCTGACAGACAGTCATTTGAATTGTCAGACTTAGTGAATCTGTAAGCAGCATTCAACGTTAGCCGCTTATCACCGGTTCGGTGAACACAGGGTTCACCTAGAGGGGTTGGTAAACCCTGATTCCAAACCAGTGGTGCACATGATCTCCATGGAGATGCAAAACGAACGAAGTGCGTATAAACTCGCCTCACATAACTCCACTGCCTCGTGGATCAGACTTCAAGCCGAAGGCTTGGATTATAATCCACTAGGACAACCATCGGTTTCTGTCTGGGCATCCGACTAGTGTCACAGCCCATAACTTATGGATCAACATTAACAATGAATACTGCAAAGCGCTTATTAAGTCTTATAGGAAGCCAAATTTACCATGCAGCGAGCTTCCTACTTAATCATTCAACTCACTGGCTTTATATCCTTTTTATTTTTAAATTGCATTGTTTTTTCGTTGTCATTTTCAAATTTATTTTATCGTGTATCTTTATTTAACTCAGCTGCTCGTGGCTGACTGAAATTCTAGTCTGCTTGCTCCGTTTTGAGTTTCCGAACAGTTGCACCTAGAATGCTATCCTTCAGTATGATATCTGATTCTACTATTTTGAAACCGTCTAGATTGGTTACCTTCAGCGTTCAGACTGTAATGCACATCAGACAACATACAAGTTTGGTCAAAACTCTGGAAAGTCTTGACATTGACGTATACTGTATTGTGGAGATCTCCATACAAGATCCCAGTGAAGTGTTCCAAATAACTTCTCCATCTGTCAGTTCGAAAAGTGTTTAATGTGGCTTATCCGAGAGCCCTGTGACATTAAAAACTGAACTTACTGGCTTTGGGTTTATCCAATGTGTGGTCGTCATTAAGTTACCGACTTGATACAATTCACGCCTAAAATGTATTGGTCACTCTCATGCTCTTCGAAAAGTATGCAACACGAATTCACGAAGAACTGGCTGGGTTTCATTCAGGTCATGAATATATTGATTATGTGTTCACCTTCTGTCAGATGCTCCTACACACCTCCACGTGTATTTCACGCCAATGATCTTTGTGTTTCGATATTAGGACTGTGCTCTGAAATCGTCTGTTAGGGAAGAATGTCCTTTAAAGTTTGTAACCATTTTGAAAGCCCTATACCTCAAGTTGAGTCAGTTCTTCAGTCACCTCTCCATTCTTTCAAACCAACGGTGTGATTTGGTAGGGCTATCCGATTTCAACACTCCTCTTTAGTTATATCGTCGATGACATTCTCGAAAAAGCTGTGAATGTACATGTTGGTGCTGTAGATCTGCTCCCAGAAGAGAGGATTCCAACCTTGGGTACGCTGAAAATATCATTTTATTGTGTGACAACATATAAGCTGCTGAAATTACATTTAATCAGTCGGTGACGGGTGTCCGTGAGTATGGTATTTGATTCACTCCAGCAAAGTGCAAACTGCTTTAAAAAATTGGCTGGAGCCTATATCCTGCACTCACCCTTGATGGTAAACTACTGAATTTGTCGAAAAGCTTATGTTCCTAAGTACGTATATGAGTGCTTGTGTAGGTGTGACTGACGGAGTTTCCAAACGTTTTTTGAAAACCAAAGTGACATATGCCAATCTTGGTCAGTTTTGTAACTTCACGACGTTAGCTTATCTATCAATGTTTAGGTAAACAGCGCACCGATGCGGGGAGTTCTACTCTACACCTGTGAAATGTGATCGCTCTAACCTCAGAATATCTAGCAACGCTGCACATTCTATCACCGTCTCTGTAGCGTTCATTGGAAACATCATATAAGCGGTACTGAAATGAGACAGTACATATTCGTGTTTGGTGGAGGCCATCACTCGTTGAGTGAAATCACCTTGAAACGCCGACTTTATGTATGTGCGAATGTGTTGTGAATGTCATTACAGTGACTGAGATACCACTCACTGTTCGCTACCCCTGGGACTGTTTGCAGAAAGTGAAGAGGTGTTTATTGTATGATGTGGCATTGCGATGAAAGATATTTATTTTGGGTCAGCATCTGTTCTTGTCTCACAGCTTCTGCGATAGAATCCGAGAAGTCATACAAATCAGCGGCTTGAGACGATAGCAGACGTAGCTCAAGATTTTCGACTCGTCGCGATCATGCTGCAGAATTCTTGCTTCTTCTGTTACCGAGAAGTAAAACGAAAGTATTGTGAACGCTTTTTGAATGCATTTTCAATAGTGCCTGCATAGTAATCCATTTCTTCATTCATTTTCATCCATATATATATATATATATATATATATATATATATATATATATATATATATATATATATATAAAATTTATGTCTCTCGCATGTTGTTAAGTCACTTTATAAGACGCATCTCTTGGTGCCCATTTTGCGTAGGTTTTTTAAATAAATATCGTTCAATACTGTAATAGTCATCGATATTTGTTTATGGTCTACATCCACACCCCTACTAACTTTAGTTTGGACGATGTAAAGAATGAAGTCGAGAATTTAATTTCGTTTCAGAAAGCCCACCAGCGAGTGACTTCGGCTGTGATTTAGAGAAGTTAAGCCATTCAGAAAAACGTTTTTTATTCTTTTGCTTACAAGCTGATAACAGTGACCGTTTCTTCTTGATAGTCACTTGTTCCAGGCCAGGACTAGTTTTAAACACTAAGAAAGACATTGTTCCAGTTTTCAGGCGATAATTGACAACTAGATCATACTGCCATAATCTGTTATTGGACTCCGACCGTGAAATAGTTTCTACACGTTTGTATCTGCACCCGAATATGTTTTCCTAACATCTTCCACAAGATGTTTAGTGTCATATCTTTATTTTCCGCACCTATGAGATACTAGTTTGTGCTAACTCCCAGTTTACGGATAGAGATTGAAGTGATTATAGGGTCTACAGGTCCCTTAATGGACTAGTTGCGAGAATACCAAAGGTTAGCCAACGTACACCATCTATGGTACCGCCAAGTAAAGGATCATTATACTACATATCACTCCGTAGTATCCTGCCCATCATCTGTGGGATGAGAGATAAAGGAGTTCAGGTATTTGATCATAATCGTTTCCACGATGTTGCTAGTATGTGATCAAACCAAAGGGGATCAATTTTAAGACTCCGTATGGGGCACTAGATATAGAAGGTATGTCTTTCAGTAAGGTTGTGAAGGTACATTGACTGAGGTGAATTGAGACATGCTACAACCTTCCTTCCTTCAATTGGTAATGCTAACTGAAGTTGGACTAGGTTGGAAAAGATTTGAGGATGGTAACCGAGGCACAATCGGTCCATAAGAATTATAACTGTTGGTCCAAACCGTATCGGAAAGTATATACCAGTTGTGTGGGGCTGTGGAAGTGGTGAGAATCACGTTTAGAAACTGCCAGTGAACTGGCTCAACACCAATCGGATTGGCATAGATGTATTCACTTTTTATTATCCTGGGGATTTAAAAAATTTTCATTGATCTTAATTTGCCTATTCTTTCTCACATCTCTTTATTATTTGGGGTATCAATCTGCGTGCTGTTATGTGGGGTGTAGCAAGTTGAACTAATAGGATTCATGTCAATAATAAACGGACTTGCAGCTTGAAAACTCACGAATTGCTTTTTCGTCTTATTGGACTTTAAATTTTGTCAATAATTAAAAAGAGCAGCACTTGTTAACGTTCATAACCACTTGGTCTTTTTATTCTGATTTATTTAGGGTCAGTACTCAGGTCAGAGCCCTGGATTTGGCTTAACTCTGTGGGCGGAACGTAAAGATGGAGGCTTGTATTCTGCTGAGGCCATGTCTGAACCTGAAGGAGGTGATAATGTTCTTATGGATGCCGAAACGATTGGAAAGTTGGCAGCAAGCAGACTCCTAGACCAAGTAATTATATACCAAAGTGACTTTGTCTTCGATAGCATTCATTTCAGTAGATTGTATTTACATTCCTGTTCTGTTTTCAGTTGTAGAGTTCATTATCTGAGATCGAAAGGCTTAGTGTTACCACATGCACAGTATATTTAGATACTGAGATTCGTATAACCCATGCGCCAATTCAATACTTGTGCTACAAATTTTAGTAATCGCCCAACTAAGATGGGTACTTGCGTAAATGCATTAGTTTCAATATATTCAACCGTTATTAGGTCATTAAGTGGTGTGTGTGTTTGTGCGATTTCACCAAGAAATAATTATCACTTTAAGATCATTTTCAGTCTAACTAAAAATCGAAAAAAGACTGCCTAACCCAGAAAACTGTCGTTTGAACTTTGTGTCACAATTACAACAAATTGTTCACTGTTTTTGTTGACATTCTTAATTTTTAAAGTCTACTGAATAATAGTATAATAGCTTTTCTAGGATTCAAACCAGTAAAATTTAAAGCATCAGAAAAGGGCTTAAAATTGATTATCGTATACAACTTAGTTCAGCTGGCGAGATATCCAACTATATGTCAAAGGACCAGTATACTGTGCTGCAGTCCATTCTGTCCTCTGATACAACCGTGAAACCAAGGCCTTTGAAAGTCAAAGGCATGAAGCGGTTAGTGTTTTAATCAAAGGTGTCTTTGTAGCACTGCTCGTGTTTAATGGGATCACCGTGTGAACAATGTCTAGGTTAGGCGAAGAGTACTAGACAAGGAAGGGAGGTCAGTCAACCAGGTGACCAACCTTCAACAACTGAGGTGGCTTGGACATGTGTTGCGCATGCTGAGTTACCGCTAACCTCGACTACCAACGCCGGTAGATATCGGACTAGATTGCAAGACGGCTCACCGTGGCCACACCAAGACGTTCCACCAATTCATGAGGTCTCTGACCGTTGGTCTGAGCCCTTATAGGCAAGTGTAGACTACTACCTTACTGGGATCCCAGAAAACACAGGAATCAGTGGTTGAAGACTTTTACTGACATGACTGAAAATCGGCCAAAGTAGTACACGTGTGTTCACTCTTTGACGTCTTCTAAAGCTTGAGTATTCGCTCTAACCTTCGTTTTTGAATTATTTATTTTCTCACACAACTTTATCTACTGTCGTGTCACTCTTTTTCCATCTGCCTGCTCTTTTTATACTACTGTGAAGTGTGGCAGCTAAGACCGATGTGCCACGTTCTACATTAGTTTTGTCTGTCTCTCTGAACAGCTGCAATCCTTTTATATTATATGAAAATTATGTGAGAATTATACTAAACAGTTTCATAAACAAAAGTTGCCGCTAACAGACGAGCACACATGACCGTATGGTTAGGAGAAACTACGTAGACCACACGTTTAATGCAGAAAAAATTTATTCATCGATACTTTCACTTCAAATTTGTGTATTTTACTATTACTTGGTTAGTCCCACTGCTCACGACTTCTCAATGAAACTTCAGGAATCAATTCTCAAAGCTACCAATGAGCACTAAACTAATTCAATTTTGAGGTTTTCGGGAATTTATTGATTTCAGGTTAACATTCATCATAAACTGGCATCAGTTACAGTAACATTGGAAAACTGGGAGCACTGGACAGCTGTTTCACCCAAGTACGGCTTTAACATCCACAATTTCCGACAAATCGACCAGTAAGCTTCCCTAGTCAAAACTCGTATCTCTGACCATGGATGTGCGATTTGTCTGTTAGACACCCACACACAACCCAAGTTAGGCGACCCAGTCAACTCCACCCAACCAATACAGCAGTGAATCTGAGAAGTTCGCTCTTCGACTTCCCACAGATTCGACTTCTAGTTCTCGTGGTTTTGCGGGTCTGGGTATGGCCACTAAATCTTAAAATAGAAAGTACACATCTGGAGACTGGATTGATTCCAGTTGACAATCACCTACGCAATGCTCAACTAAACGGTTCAGTAAGGACTAGGAAAAACAGTAAAACTCACTGATATCCTCTTGTAATATCTCCTTATGCACTCACCGACTGCAGTTTGCATGAAGTGAAGTGAAGGACTAGTTCTACAGAAAAGTTTCCACCATCCCCACTGAAGTCCGAAAGTTCATGTTTCGTTATCGTAGCAGGTGATTCCAATGTACAGGTTATAAGTTGTGTCAGATAGAAAGGCACTTAGGTGGCACTCTTGAAATCTGGAGTAAACGGACAAATAATGGTGGTCGTCTACTACAGCTGCACACACAATCACCTACTAATGGTCAGCATGTACTTCAGACATAACAGGGAAGACTAACTGGGGTGGCGTCCACCAGCCTGAACTCAACAGTGGACACAGGTAGACTAAATTCCTATCAGTTACCGCTGGGGGCAGTCAGTGAGAGTTTGTCTCTGCTTCTGGAGCACACGTGTGTACAGCGACCACACGTATGTTTGTGTCTAAATGGAGGTAGAGAAACTACCACAACTGGACAATTCCAAACACCCCTCAAGAATGAGAATACTAAGACTGTTTTCAGCTAGAAAATCGCTAGCTGACACTTATCGAGACGCCATCACCAGTTTGTTGTGAATACAATACTATATGCCACAATTAGCTCTCAGAAAGAGGTTGGTTATAAAGGACCAGTGGATCTCAGCAGCTTCTTGTGAATTATTGGATGCAGACAAACGCATTCCTTCAGACTCAAAGTACAATGAGTATCTGAAATGTAGACTGCCCAAGTAACTCAGTGGTAACACTGCTGACTGCAACACTGGATGATATGAGTTCGGATCTCAGAGGAGATATCACTTCCCTCACAATCACAGATACACCTTACCGACAAGTGCCAACAAGTATGAAATCTAGATCCAGAAATTCCCTGCCGACTGCCTCCAACCAACAACTAACATTGTCGAGAAGTCGCCACAATGAGCGCAAGCACTGGTGGATGGTGATGGCTAAAGAGATGGAAAAGCCAGTGGTGATAGGGTAGAGGTCCACAGCAATCTAAACTGATCAAGGAATCTGGGGTCAAAATGTCAACGGTTAGTGAGGTCAGAGTGAAGAAGAGTGGGTCTGATATTTATTGGCAATAGACACGACTGGAACGATCGATGTACGGAACACTTCGAGGAACAGTTGAGGTAGTGTCGATCTACCACTCCGCTTCACTATCTAATCGACTCTCAAATGCAACATTGAGATAAGGCCTCCAACAATATCTGATATCGAGAAATCTGTAGGTAATCTGGAACGAGGAACAGCGTCAAGCACATATGCACTGGCACCAGAGATGTTTAAAGGCAGTGGTCGTGGATTATTAGTCAGGTTTACTGAAGTGTTAGCGGTTATGCAATTGTGTTGATTCAAGTTCTGTTTCTTGGGCCTATTGTTGAGTTGAATTTAGGAACCATTTTTATCTGTTCACTGTATCTTATTGTGAATACTTTACACTTCACTATTTTATATTCTAAAAGTGCTTAGTAGTGAGAAATTTCAAGGTTGATTGTAAATAATTTTTTTATGCATTTAACTAGATCATCATGAAACAT